TTGAGACAGAGTCTTGCTGTCGCCCAGGCTGGAGTACAGTGGCTCGATCTTGGCTCACTGCAACCTCTGCCTCCCGGGTTCGAGTGATTCTCCTGTCTCAGCCTCCAAGTAGCTGGGACTATAGGTGCCTGTCACTGTGCCCAGCTAATTTTTGTATTTTTAGTAGAGATGGGGTTTCACCATATTGGGCAGGCTAGTCTCGAATTCCTGACCTCATCATCTGCCTGCCTTGGCCTCCCAAAGTGCTGGGATTACAGGTGTGAGCCACTTCGCCCACAGCCTGACCAGGTCTTCCCCATCCTGGCTACCCTCATTCAGTCATTCATCACATACCACCTAATAGGTACCAGACGCTGTTTGGCCCTTGAAAGATTTTCTCCCCCAGTCTCGTCCCCAGGATAACTTCAGAGATATCGTCTGATTTGGAACATCTCACTATTTCCAGAGAGCCAAATCCATGGGGGGAAAAAAACTGATCTGCAGTCACTGAAAATGGGCCAAGAGAATGGGAAACCGACCCTCGTCATTTCCAGTGTCATCTTCTCCTGAAGGAGGAGGATGGCTTGAAGGAAGGGGAGGACGTGGCAAGGGCACAAGGGATGTGATCAACATCTGTAAGTTCAGAGTGAATAAAGAATTCCAGAATAAGGATGCCTCCAGCATCTCAAAAAAGGTCATGTAAATGAAGAAGCTTCCTAGTATCTCAAAGGAGGTCAATGTAAGAAAAATAAAAAGATTGGCCAGGCACGGTGGTTCACGCCTATAATCCTAGCACTTTGGGAAGCTGAGGCAGGCGGACCACGAGGTCAGGAGACCAGCTTGGCCAACATGGTGAAACCCCATCTCTACTAATGGTATAAAACAATTAGCCAGGCGTGGTGGTGCTGCCTGTAATCCCAGCTACTCGAGAGGCTGAGGCAGGAGAATCGCTTGAACCTAGGAGGTGGAGGTTGCAGTGAGCCAAGATCACACCATTGTACTCCAGCCTGGGCGACAGTGCGAGACTCTGTCTCAAACAAACAAACAAACAAAAATAAAGTAAAAAGATTGTCCTATTCATATGGCAGGACATACAGGCTAAAAAAGGAAGGTTCCAATAGGGTCTGAATGAAGAGAGAGACCACTGCCTATCAATGTTTGGGGCCTAATCCTAATCTCTGAAGCAAATGCTCTGGAATTCAATCACACTCACCTGACACATGCCTCCTGGTTCACCTATTAAAGAATTCTGGGTACAGAATTTGGAGTTAAGAAAGAATTTTTGATGGTTCAGAAGGAAGCAGGATGAGATGACGCTTGCCTGGTGCTCAGAAGCCACATCGATACCGATACCTTTCATTTGAGAAAGTACCAGAATAAACCCATTCAGTGTGGGAACAGCTCTGAAGGGCAGATGTCTCTATACCCTGGCAGCTCACATGGCACCTTGCACATAACAGGCACTAAAAATGAGCATTTGTGAAGATGAACCCATGTTGCCCAGGCTGGTCTCCTGGGCTCAGGCAATCCACCCACCTCAGCCTCCCAAAGTGTTATGATTACAGCCAGGAGCCCCATGCCCAGCCCCCAGAAGGGTTCTTCTAAAGTTTATTAAGATTGGGCAGGCTGTGGGCATGTTGGACTTTCTGCTTTGCCTCACCTTCAGCATTTCAAAGGTGTTGTCAGGTAGAGAGACCTCCGTTTGATAACTGTATCCAAGCTTCTGAAGGTCTTTGGTCCTCTCTTTGTCATAGTCTTTGGATGAGTTCTGTGTCATGAATATTATTTTCCCAACACTTTATTATGAAAATTTTCACTGGCCAGACATGGCGGCTCACGCCTGTAATCCCAGCACTTTGGGAAGCTGAGGTGGGCAAATCACCTGAGGTCAAGAGTTTGAGTCCAGCCTGCCCAACATGGTAAAATCTTGTTTCTACTAAAAATTACAAACTGGCTGGGCACAGTGGCTCATACCTGTAATCATAGCACTTTGGGAGGCTAAGGCGGACGGATCACCTGAGGTCGGGAGTTTGAGACCAACATGAAGAAACCCCATTTCTACTAAAAATACAAAATTAGCCGGGTGTGGTGGTGCATGCCTGTAATCCCAGCTACTCGGGAGGCTGAGGCGGGAGAATTGCTTGAACTGGAAGGTGGAGGTTGTGGCGTGAAGACTTCTGTGACCCAAAGTATGGAGAGATTTTCTCTACACTCTACTACTAGCAAACACTACTGGGTGTACTCCTGTTCAATTCCGACACTATCTACAGGGAGATCATGTCAGATCCTGTGGGTTAAAGGTTAAAAAATTAGATGGTCATGGTGGCGGACACTTATAATCCCAGCTACTTGGGAGGCTGAGTCAGGAGAATTGCTTGAACCCAGGAGGCAGAGGTTGCACTGAGCTGAGATCACGCCATTACACTCCAGCGTGAGTGGCAAGAGTGAAACTCTGTCTTTAAAAAAAAAAAAAAAAAATTTTTTTGTAAGCGTAAGGGAAAACTTGAAGGGAAGGTACACCCATAAACCTACCACCTAGATTCTACAACTTATATTTTGATATATTTGGTTTACCGCATATGCATTGTGCCAGTCAATTTTGGGGGGATGCGTGGGGTTTTTTTTTTTGTTTGTTAATTTTTTGAGACAGGGTCTTGCTCTGTTGCCCAGGCTGGAGTACAGTGGCACAGTCTTGGCTCACTGCACCCTCTGCCTCTTGGGCCCACGTGATCCTCCCACCTCAGCCTCTCGGGTAGCTGGGACTACAGGCACATGGCACCATGCCAGCTGATTTTTTTTTTTTTTTTTTTTTAAATTTCACCACTGCGCAAAGAAGGATGATTTTTGTATTCTTAGTAAAAATGGGGTTTCACCGTGTTGCGCGTGCTGGTCGTGAACTCTTGGGCTCAAGCAATCCAACTGTTTCAGTCTCTCAGAGTGCTGGGATTACAGGCGTGAGCCACCACACCTGGCTCTGGGGATGTGTTATAAAGTAAATTTGCATCATCAGCATTGGTTGAGCCCCATCTTCTAGAGCACTCAGCCAGGGGCTGATCTTTCCTAGAAACAAGCTCTGTGTGCACTGCCCTGTCTGAATTTTGAAACCCAAGCAGGGAAATCAGTGCTCCCCGATTAGAACAGCAATGCTTTTGTCCTTGTGGAAGTAGATTGCTGCTCAGGTGGTAGCTCAGCAACCAGAGAACTGGGGATCCAGAGTTGGTTCTTGTGCAGGAATAAAAGCTTTTGAGCAGTTACTTTCATAAAGCGTTTGTCTCTTCCATAGAAAACCTTCACAAAGGCACCGTTGACTTAGTTAATAATTGGCTTCTAAAAATAAGCACAATTTCAGCAGCTTAAGGCAAGGAGTTGGCAACAGTGAATTAGAATTAGCAAGTTGTAGGGTTAGTTGCAGGTGCAACGCTGGGCAATTCTGACCGGCCTATGCCCCTTACATTTTGTAATTCCATTGTTCACCCTATAACTCTGCTTGTAGTTCTGTGGAGGTTAGAGGGAAATGAGCCAATCTTTCTTTCTTGTTTTTAAATTAATTAATTAATTTTAGAGATGGGGTCTTGCTCTGTTGCCCAAGCTGGAGTGTAGTGGCATGATCATAACTCACTGTAACTTTGACTTCCTGGGCTCAAGCAGTCCTCCTGCCTTAGCCTCCTAAGTAGCAGCTAGGTTAGCAGATGTGCATCACCATGCCCAGCTAATTTTTATTTCCTTATTTTTTGTAGAGAAAGAGTCTCACTATCATGTGGACCAGACTGGTCTTGAACTCCTGACCTCAGCTAAACCTCCTGCCTTGGCTCCCAAAGCTTTGGGATTACAGGCATAAGCCACTGCTCCTGGTCTTTTTTTCCTTTTTAGTAGAGATATTTCTCTTACCAACCTCCAGGGGAAGGGTAAACCAAGGCAGTTATCTGGGCTGCCCTCTGTCATAGGCTGCATTTGGGGTCATTTGAGAGGTGGGCGGGCTGGGCGCTGTGACTCACACCTGCAATCCCAGTACTTTGGGAGGACAAGGCAGGAGAATTGCTTGAGTCCATGAGTTTGAGACCAGCCTAGGCAGCAAAGTGAGACTCTCCATCTACAAAACAATTAAAAATAGGTGGGTGGGGTGGCACATGCCTGTTGTCCAACTACATGGGAGGCTGAGGCAGGAGGGTCACTTCCTCCTCTGAGCGCTGGTAGCATTGTCTGTTCTTTTCATCCAACTGTTTGTTCCCTGCCTTGTTTCAGAAGAGGAGTTAAAGTGCCTTACCTCTTGCGCATATGTTCTCTCTCTAAGCAGAGAGTGTGTTCTATCTTTATCTTAAAAGTTTTTTTTAAAAAAATCCTAGTTCTTACATATACAGAGACATTTGATAAATGATAGAGGATTATGATAACTGCTTATTGTAGATGGGATACTTTAGAAAATTTCAGTTGTCAGGAATTAGGTCTGCCTTTGAGGGTGATTTTAAGTTGCTGGTGGTAACCGGCTACACCTGAAGCCATAGGGAACATGAACCCATTTCTCCTTTGGTACATCAGGATCCCCTGAGTGAGGGATTTCTTCAAATCGCGGGTTAAAATGTAGAATCCCTGAATGTGGGGAGCCCCTGGTATGTTAGCCCTGCAAAGCCTGGCTTCACACCATACTTGTCTCCTCTCTTGTGCCCTCTTTCCACTTCTGCCTGGTACCCCATTCATGTCATCCCATCTTCTCATCAGCCTCTCTGCCTCTAAAGTCTTGTCTCTCTCCCTCAGCTGCTGTGATTCTCACGTTTAAACACCCAGGTTGGATTCCCTTACTTCTGCCTCCCTAAAGTCAAGTCCCGGTTCATAGGTGGGGTTCTGGTCACAGCTGGCCATTTCCAGCCTGATCTGGCACTGCATCTCTTTGTGAAATGACCCAAGAGTACACATCATCCCAGGAGTACTCAGCAATGTCATGCGTCTCTGCTGTGATCTTATTGCAATACCCTGTTCTTTTTTCCCTTTTCTGCTCCCCTTTTCCAGGTATAGAAATCATACTCATCCTTTGAGTAATATTCAGCTCAAATGCCATCTTTTTTTTTTTTTTTTT